CAACTGCTAATATTGACCGCAAAGTCAACAACCTTACAATCCCATAAGCGTGTCATTACAACGCAAACACCATGTAATAAGTATCTAATACGGTTTGCTCCGCTTAATTAAACCGCCCGCGAGTCGCACGCGCATCGCACGTGGCCCGCACGCGTCGGGCACGTGTCGTGTTGTAGAACAGTGTGACAACACACACGTTGTAATCCTGAGTGTAAAATGTTTGTGTTTAATCTAATCGTGGGTTAAAATATAAATTGAGGGCATTAGTTTCATCTGGGTTTCTGTCTATGGTGATCTAAAATTAGGGTGTAATTTTTTGTTTTAAAAAAATAATTAATAAGATGCATTGTTTTCGTTAATCAATTCAACTATTTCCTACAGAGACAAGGAAATAGATATGTTTAAATCTTACCTATGTTCATTATCTTAAAAAATACATAAACTTCCTTCATTCTCTTAGCCTCTCTACTGGCAGGCGTTCGCGCGCGCCTACAAAAAACCTAAAGAAGTCCCTACACCGCTAAAATTTGTTTTTTTTTTTCAGTAGGAAAAGGCAAAAGGCATAAATCAGAGAAACAAGTCTTCAGTTCTTTTTTTTATTAACAAAAGTTGTGCTTATACACAAAATAAAAAAATTTAGTCCTCCTCGTCTAGTTAAAAAGTATTTATTCAAAAAGAGAACTCTACCATCTACCACGCACCATGACACGCGCCGCGCACGCGTTTACAATCCATGTGACCAGTATCGTCAACGGTTACACCACAGAATAATAACATGTTACACGCACAATAACTACAGTTACTGGCTGATGCGTCTAACACATTGATAATCACGTTAACAGAAGATTAGTTGAATGATCGATGCAATTGATCTATTTATCGTGGTGTAGTTCTGCTTGATCATAATTATTTTGATTTTCGTATTGACATGTTTTTTGTTTAGTTTGTGCCAGTTTTTTTTTCATTCTTAGGCCTGCTGGGCTAGGATGCGCGCCGTGATAAATTTTGATCGATGATTTAAGACATCAAAATGCTTATCGATAAAAAAACGATCGGTTATCGCGGAGCATCTCTACTGGTTCAGACACGTGCGATAACTGTGTGATTTCTGGATGATTCTCATTGGCGACGCACATTCTTAACTTTAATTTCTTAACTAGTTAGTCGGCATCAAAGCTAAAAACCACAATCATGAATTTAATAATTTAACAAACAATTAAAGAAACCAGACCTCGCAGATAAAAGCAAGTGACCATAATCCATAATCAAACGATTCCATAAAAAGATCCCTTTTAAAAATATTAAGTTGATAGCAACATCAAATCTGTAAACACATGAACAAACAACCCCACACCACTTTGTCATTGTAATTGGTGCGCAATCCGAAATGTTATTCTCCGCAGATCAAAGCCTATTTGTTTTATCTGTCTACCCATTACCTATTCAACAGATACCACGTCACTGAACAAATCAAAGGAGGTATTTGAAATATAGAATCGTTTTGTTTTCCCCCGCGAGATGGCACTGCCGTCCGATGATACAATTTCCGAACGAACTGAGAACAGTCAAGAAGTTTCGCCCTTTCACAATTTTCGAACGAATCGCGCGCTGACCGCGGGAATCATGCGGAACGTGGATAGAGTGGATGCGCTTTTGTTTTTATTTTTTTGCTTTTTACATTAAATTTTCATTTTTCCTGTAGGTTACAACTCTAGCTAGGTCATAGGTCTTTCTTTAGGTACCTACCTACCTACTAATAATGAAAATGAATACCTAATACCGAACTTTTGATTGGTTGTCTAGTGGTGAGACCACCTGCTTTAGACGCAGAGGTCCCGGGTTCGATTCCCAGTGGGGGCAGATTTTTCTATTCGGTTTGGTTGGTGGTAGGGCTTGTCCTAAGTCCGCCTGGCTAGCTACCACCATGTTACCCAAGTCTGTCGCCGTAACAGCGATGTTAACAGCATTGTTGTGTTCCGGCAGTTAGAGGTAAGATAGCCAGTTCCTCCGTGGTTGAGGATTCCGGGTGAAGATCGCTTCCACCTTCGGTCTGATCATCACTTACCATCAGGTGAGATACAGGCCAAGAGCTTCCTCGTTGTGGATTAAAAAAAGTACAGTGATTTTTATAAATTAAGAAAAACATGCTAAACCAACCTGTGTGTTTAAGGTAATCCTTCTAACCGGTTGCTGCCTATTCGGTTTGAAAAAATCGAACACCTTCAAAACGTTACATAGTATCAAGTCATGTCCTCTACCAGCTTTCGTCCAATCGTTCGATTGATATTCAATTCTGAATTGCAAGGAGAAAGATCGCCCCGGGACAGCGCCCAATTGAATTTGAAAACAGAACATCAGCCACCATACCCCCCTCTGTCCGCCGGCGATGCCCCCGCCTTGGTGCACCATACAGTTGTTTTAAAGAAGGACAAAATAAGCATGTCTCATTTGTCCATCAATCTCGCTAAAAACCTCATTTTAACTCAAGCATAGATGCTAGCGTGGTATTGTTTATTTTACATTATAGGTAGACACATCTCACAAAACTGGACAACTGAAATAACTGCAACTTTTCAGGGTCTTACCGCTAGAAAGCAATTTATTTTAGAGACCCCAAGTAGAAGACAGTCAATTCTTAACTAATTTATTGATTTATTAAAACGTTTACACATAAAAGTAATGTACAGCGGCGGACTTAATGCCGGATGGCATTCTCTACCAGTCATCCACGGGTCAAGCAGAGAAACTAAGGCGGTGCAAAAAAAAACAGTTTGGTTAATACCTACTTACTTAAGATTACATAAAATGTTTCAACAATTTAAATAATTTAATAGGAACAAAGATTTACTTAAATCGCTCGTTATGCGTAATATAAAGGTAAAAGAAAAGATAAATCAGTAGCAGACATTCCGCGACGTGGTCACCCTAGCTAGCCCCTGCCCAGCGCGGCCATTTTCCCGGCCATAGACAACAGTTTTATTGTTTTTATATTTATTTATCCGACGCTGTTTTTGCGTTGTTCTGCCCTATCGTTTTTGGCGTGTGTCTTTATGACGTAGCGAAGGGAGGACGATATGGTCAGATAGGTTTTAGAGATATGACTTGCAATCATTTGTCCTGAAATTATTTTCAATTGTCAAGCTATATCTTTTGAAATCTATATATATAAAAGAAAGTCGTGTTAGTTACTCCACTTATAACTCAAGAACGGCTGAACCGATTAAGCTGAAAATTGTCAGGGAGGTAGTTTAGAGCCAGGAGAAGGACATAGGATACTTTTTATCCCGTTCGAAATTAAAAAAAGTCTGCTTATTTATTGCCATTAAGGCGGAACAAAGTTCGCCGGGTCAGCTAGTAAGTAATAGTTTTACTTTCTGCTGAGGATTTATTAATAAGATTACACTTATCGCAAAAACAAAATTGCCCCTTCAACACAAATAAATAAGGACAGAACTAAAAGGAAAAAGTCAATAAACTACACTTGTTTTATTTATTTATTTAAAACTTTAATGCCAAAATAAAGTACATAAGGCGAACTTAATGCACTAAAGCATTCTCGACCAGTTTACCACTTGTTATATTCTAAGGTCATGTGGTTATTTATTATCACTTTTAGCATTTAACAACCTACTTACTACGGCATTAATTAGCCTAATTAAGAACATTTTAAATCCTTGCATTAAATTATGAGCAACCAAACTTGCAGTGATTAAAATACATTTGCTAGTGCTTGTTTTGCAGGCGCTATTACAATCAAAAACCCAAACCACGTAATTCTGACCTTTCATTTCATGTTTTCATTCCAGCAGTATTTTATGGTATCTAAACAAAGTAAAGTCCGTATTTTGCCAACATGGTCAGGTGAGCTGAAGGTCCGGCTATGATTCGTCAGCACGATTTAGAATAGCCACCCTCTTTTTATCGTAAAACCTTTGCCATCTTATTGACCACTGAAAACTTTGCACCATCACCCTTACTGGGATGGTTTAGGAGTTATGTTGTACGCAAAGATAAGTTTGTAATCGTATAGCTATCGAACACGTCCGATATTCTGTATCAATACAATATCAGAGGCGTTTGATCGTTCCTGTGATATTACCTATAACGTTGACTTGCTATCTCGGCATTACCATTGTTGTTTTACGGCTGACAAACAGCTAGATAAGTGTTTTGTTTGATACTATTGTTAATGATATTATGATATAAGGCGAGAAATACCTATGTACATAGATGAGAATATAAATAAAAACAGAGACTGAACCGAAATTCAATTTAATAAATTGTACAATATTTTAGGTTAATTTCAAATTATAAAATTCATTCATTTTGAAGCGACGATAGCCGTTCGGTGAAGGTGTAGTACTGGCCGACTCGTTATCCGAGGAACGCGGGTTCGATCCCCGTCGTGTGACTATTGTGGTGAACCCAACTACGGGCATTTTAGTTTAGTAATTATTTGTATTTACTTACGAATTGCTAATAATCTAGTTACAGTATTTATCTACCATACTTAATTTTGTGAAGCAATAGACGGACAGGGCCTTACTGCCTCGAATCTCAAGATGGCGTATTGAGTTTGCAAGTTTTTGCCGCTAAAACTTCGCTCATTTCGTTTTTAGTGTGGCTACCCGGCTGTCCATGTTCTTGTTAGAGCAAACCTCATCAATCAATGTTCGACTATGTAACTTAGTAGGTAGGCGACATTCAGATAGACCTCGATTCAATTTCGCTATAGGTATTAATTTTACAAAATTCTACACTTGGACGAATTATTCTACAACTAAGGTAAGGTAATTTTGTTTCTTGAACATTGGGAATGATGCCACACTATGAAAAGGTGGCCTTATTTACTAACAAAAATAAATACGAAATCAACTTTTCGTACAACATTTAAGTTTCCGATTCTTAGTAAAATCATTAAGCTAATTCCAGTAATGAATAAGCAAGTACGTAAACGCGTGAAACGGAACGCAGCAAAACTTTTTCATTTACTTCTCCGCTGACAGTTGCTGTCATTCATTGAATCGGGCGGCGGGTGAGTGACCGGTCGCAATCGCGTTGTTTTCTAAATACTAATAAAAAAGTTCATAAAAATTCGCAAAATGAAGGGCGATAAGAACGTAGACATCCAAGCTTTGAAAGACATCGCAAACAAGCTGAGGATCGACAGCATCGTTGCAACAAATGCGTCGAAATCCGGGTGAGTGATTGTAGTAACCTCATGCTCCTTGCGGCTCCATGAAGGTCTAATGAAGGTTATTTTTCCTAGTGGAAGCTTATTACGAATAATTCATACAGAAAATACACTTTATAAAGCCTTTAGAAGTAAAATTAACATAAGTTTGTATGTCATTTAAAGGTTATTTCTGCTGCAGTTTAATTCTATAAAACCGGCGTCATGGTAACCATGTTTCTCCTGACCCAATTCTAATTTGAATTTTAAATTACATATTGCAAATGTGTAGTGGTCAAACCACAACTTTGTGTCTTATTATTCTAATTTTATAACCCATAACATTATACAGGGTTAGTTTAAAAAACTTAAATCTTGATTTTTACTAGAGGTTAGCTTGGTACCACGTGACTGCGATGCCCAACCAAGGTCGCCAAGTAGTTTACAAGTGTTATGTCAGCGTTATCTCAAACGGTGATATGCTAAGTCACCCTGAACTTATTTTATAAGTATTGATTTATCATACAACTGATTTAGATTGGTTTTCAGGTGTATTAATAATCTTAATTACATGATGTTTTACTCTCTATGCACACAGGATGCATTTTCTTTCCTTGAATTTTTCCAATTGGAAGTCAATTTATTATCGTAGCTCCTTTTTTGTGAATGTTCTGAGTCAAATAGGTAAAAGTGTGGGTATACATATACCAAAGTTAATTGTTAATTTAATATACACAACAATATTTAATCTTGATTTGCTTTGCAAAATGTGAATGTAGGTAGGAATGGAATTTGAACTGTCTCAAATGCATTGAATTTAAATGTATTTAGAAGGTTAATGATGATGTCAAATTGGAATTTAGGAAAAAGTACAGTAATTTGAACCTTTTCTCCACACAGGGAACCTAACTATGTGCAAAACCTAATTCATCAAATTAATCTCTACCTACTGTGTCTACAGAATACCTACACTGGCAAACAAAATGCTGTATCATTCATTCATACAAATTGAAACAATTAATCTAATAATAATTCATAAAACAATGTGTTGCTCTGAATATGTGACATCAGTTAGAAGTAACAAATTAAAAAAAAACTCTTGATTAGTAGATGTGGTTGGTAAATTAAAAAATACAGTAAAGCAAAAAATATAAATCCAATATTTTAGTACCACACATGTCCACTTTGTACTTATTTTGGTATGAAATCAGTCACTTGATGTACTTAGCTATGATTGACTATAAGACCTTAAAATGCAGAAAATTCAGTATGTAGGGTGTATTTCTGATGTCCCCCACCGTTTGTCTCCCACTTTCCAATGTCAGGAAAAAGGTCATCCAACTATACATATAATTTTTCTTAAACTACAGAATAAATACTTGTATAACCATGTGCTTATAATAATAAAAACAAGTGCGAGTCGGACTCGCGTACAAAGGGTTCCGTAGCAGCATATATAATAAACTTATTATGTCAATTTATACACCTGGTGAATGGAGCCTAAACTCTCCCGATATTTTGCCTTGTACTTTTATGTATGAATATTAATTTTATATATGTATTTATAAATATTCCGAGCTAAAGAGGTGGCAAAAGCAATGGCAAACAAACCACAATCAATAGTATTCGGTTGTCGCTGAACACTTGGAAACTGAATACATGACTCCGATAGATACGGAAACAAGGCTTTTACATATATTTTTTGCGATTTTCCTAGAACACCAACAAGACTATCGTACACACGCAGTATTCCATTAATGTAATAAATACAACTCCAGTGCCCCACTAATCCCACGTCACCGTCATAAATTACTTGAAGGTGCGTCTCATTTTTAGGTACAGGTTCAATCAGTTCAGGGTGTTGAAATAATTCTAGCTCACGCGGTCTAAATGATGTGCACCGAAGTAACTTTTCATGAAATGCGCGAACCACATCATCTTCGATATAGTTATTATAATTCAGAATGTAGGAAAACGTATTATCTAAAGTATCCATTGTTAGATGATATACAATAAGCTTTAGAAATTTTAAAAACCTGCTACGAAACACTAAAATTTGCACCAAAAACAAAGGAATTTATATTATTGGGGGATTTATTAGTACGTGACCGGTTTAATAGCACCTATTAAACCAGTATACCTACTTACTTATTTTTTATAATAGGTACAATTCAATATTAAAAAGTCTCAACGCCAAATTCGACTTGCGAAAGAAGTAAATGGGAACGATGAAATTCTCTTAGCGCGCACAAGTGACAACGACGTCTGCCCTCACGTGTCTGCCCGTTCGGGTCGACGCGGTTAGCTATCTTATCCCCGCTCCCGCGCGAGACCACGCCCCGCAACTCACGCGCTGCAGCGCAGCGAGCGACCGATCTTCTTGAATCGATGTAATAATAATCTATAGGATTAACGCGTTTTAAAAATATTGGTTCGATGGATATGTTTAACCTATTATTACTCAACAATCACATTTGTAATATTAAACTTTATCAAATGCACAATGTATTTAAGGTACATTACTGGATAAGGATTAATGGCGTATTGCTTGAATAAGCTAATATTTCTCGTAAAAAGTACCTACATTATAAAGATTTTATATCATCGCGGATTTTAAAAGGTGTACAATACTGTAGTATATTTTTTGATCTATCTTATAAGGTTCAGCCATCGTTTTCAGTGTAAGCACAATAACTTAACCAAAATTACAGTTAAATCAACCTATCTCAAAAACTATAAGAGATACTTTGATCAAACCAAAAATCGTTGAAAGAGTTAATTAGCATGCATCACCTCTATTTTTTTTAGAATTTTATACCCCGTAGTTATAAAAATAGAGGGGGGGGGACATACTTTTTACGACTTTGAGAGCTGATATCTCAAAAACCGTTCACTTTAAGAAAAATGTTTTTTAGAAAACTTTATATCATTTTAAAAGACCTTTCCATTGATACCCCACACGGGTATGTACATCGAAAAAAAAATTTTCATCCCTCAGTTACATGTATGGGGGGCCCCACCCCCAATTCTTTTTTTTACTATTTAGTGTCATAATTTTGTAGCGGTTCATACAACACATATTCCCATCAAATTTCATCACTGTAGTACTTATAGTTTCCGAGTAAATCGGCTGTGACAGACGGACAGACGGACAGACGGACAGACGGACAGACGGACAGACGGACAGACGGACATGACGAAACTATAAGGGTTCCGTTTTTGCCATTTTGGCTACGGAACCCTAATAAAAAGGTACCTACTACTATTTAACCTTAGTTTGTCATTGATTAAAAAGCTGAATATTTGACCTGTAAAGAAGTTTTAGATAATGATAATGCTGTGTGCATGTTGAATCTTTTCCGTAGTTACACGTGATCAATAAAAAATCATGAACTTGCTACGATTTTGTTATCATTATTAATTGACATCTTACAAGAATAGTGTAATCTAATTAATAATTATTTTGAACTACAAAATGAAATTAGAATAAGAAATAAAATGAAACATATTGTTTTTCAGTTTTATTTTAGTTGAGTCACTATTAGATATCACTTTTCAGTGTGTAGAAAGAAATGTGTGAATTGCGTACCTAACTGCTTATTAGAGCATATCAAATTAATGTACTCATGAGTTGAATAACAACTTCAGGTTGCTATGGACTATATTTGGTTTCTTAATATATTTCAAAATATATTCCAATTTTTCCGTATCTAAGCTACCTATAGTTTTTGAATCTAAAATTAGCACAATCTGTTGATATGTGTAAAAGATTTTTACATTGAAATTATGTATTTATTCTAATACGTCACTTTTTGCGTACGTGTTTTTGCGAACTTTGGTCATGTGTTCTTAGCAATGCCTTTTCAATATGAGGATGAATAATTGGTTGTTTTTTTATTTAGGAACAATTTTTAAACTATGGACAGTGAAGTTTGTCTCACTTAATTTAATTTTAGAAATAGCTGTTGAATTACACAAATTAAACTAATTAAAGATTAATTAAGCACAGATACTTTTTATCGAACATATTCTCCATGAATATGTGATACGTAGATGTGCAATATTATACCAGTGTTTGTCGTACTCACGCCGCACATATTGTCGGCTGTGGGCAGTAGCATTCACACAAATAACTATACTTTTGAGCCTCAAATGTAAGTATCTTGGTGTATTAGGCTACATGAAGTATTAAACTCCAATGTAATTAATTAAAACAATTAGAATTGCAAACATGGGGTTATATTTTCTGAGCTGGGATCTAACATGGAAATCTGACTGAATCGGGAGCATATATTTATACTGTTTGTCGCACAATCGAACCCAGATCCTCCTGAGTCCTTAAATTAACCACTGGACTATGAAGGATCTCACAGGAGTTTAGAAATAATTCATTAATTGAACAAAGAAACTGTATTAACTCATTACAACTAATAAAAGGCAATGTTGATTGATACTTATAAGTAGATGATGAATGATCAACATCTTGATTGCACATGTGAGAAACTCCAGGGGATCTTAAACTACAATGTGTCAATGACAGTTATGTAAAAATACACCTTATCTCCAATGACTGATGTGTATCTTTTGATTAAATTAAATTATGTTATGCACACAAATTCATACGTCTCAAAATCGTTTTAAATCAGCCAAGAGGAGTTAGGTACGTATCGAAATAAAACTGACCAATCGTCTTATAGTTAAGTTGAGACTATTTTGAGAACTCTCTTACTACATCTCCAATGACAGATATCTGGTCCACTGCTACTAGTCTGGTGTCTCTACGTTCAGCTATGACAACCCTCAGGCAACCCAAAAACAACCTTTAGAGTAGGCGCACACCGTTGATTTTTAGTTGGCCGATAGTTGTGCCCGATTTTAATTTGTATGAAGAATCGGCGAAATCGAATCGCGGCGTAGTGTGCGCACTCCCATACATGTCCATTGCCCATACTGATCAACTGCCCGACTAAACTATCGGCCGACGAAAAATCAACGGTGTGCGCCTACTCTTATTATAGCCTCACCTCACGTACTAATTACTTTCAATTCTTGTTCATAAATTCAATTATTTGTTTCAGTCACCCCACATCATGCGCGTCGATGGCGGAGATTATGTCGGTGCTGTTCTTCCACACCATGAGATACAAGGTGTCGGCACCCAGAGACGCGTCCGCGGACAGATTCATCTTGTCCAAGGTTGGTATAGCGCACCTTATGACTGAAAAGACCCTAAACATTATTTTCTGGTAAAAATATTTTAGGCTGTAGGCAATAAAAGTCCGACCATCAGGACAACTTATGATACTTCTATATCTTGTGCTTCAACTTATCAGACAGAGTAAATCCCTGCTTGCGCGGATAGCTCTGTATAAACCACTGTGTGACCACAAACCTTTTAGGCCTCAGCCTCGAGTTTAGCGGGCAGCGGGGCGGGAGCGGCGGCGGCGCGGGAGCGGGGCGGGCAACGCAGACCCGTTCTCGAAACAAGCGGGCAGCTCGCGCGGCGCTTTAGTGGCGAAGTGTTGTGTTGTCGAGATATTTGTTTTTATTCGCAAACGAAATGTCTGAACAACGGCGACAAATTTTATTTCGATTCAAATTTATTCCTAACGCTCGATTTATTGTGGGCAAAATAAGGAGTGCGCTGCCCGCTCGTTGCCCGCTCCCGCGCCGCTGTATTCGAGAACCTGTCTATTTGATTTTACGCATAAGATCGTGCCGCTCCCGCGCCGCCGCCGCTCCCGCCCCACTGCCCGCTAAATTCGAGGCTGAGGCCTAAGTTATGTGCAAATTGATCCTGTACAGGATCAATTTGCATTTTCCTGTATAAGAAAGTCTAGCTAGCCATTATCAAAATAATCCGACGATCATTGAAGTTTCTTTTGTCCTTTTTTCTTTACCGTACTACTACTACTAACCGTAACTAACCATTGTGCAGTACTTCTCAGATACCTATTCCTATTTCTTCTTTTTGATCTTGAGTATCGAACTAACATGCACTAAGTAAATAATTGAAATACGACTATCGTAGTTGCATTTCTTCCACTAGTGCAATAGCAAAGTGTTTGTCGTACTCACACGACCGCCATCGGACGATGTGGGCAGTAGCATTCATACACTGAAGAAATCTATTTTTCTTATTAACAGTTTTTTTTTCTAAAACTAACAATTTAGAATTTCTAAACACTTGCAAATTGAAGTATCCATGTATAAATGACTAAAGCCTGGTCCGTGAGCACGTAGAATTTTGTCTTGCACAGTCGCGACAGCAATACATATAATTACGCGCGAGCGATAAGGATGAGTAGCTTGGGGTCATTGGACAAAATTCTACGTGCTCACGGACCAGGCTTTAGACAAAGTTACTAACATGTCAGTTTTTATCTTGAAACGCTTCTCTCCGATGTTTACATGTAACTACTTCGCTCCGTATAAAAAATGGAAATGAAAACTGTCGCGAATGTAACTTTTTCTAAAACCTCTGTTAGGAACATTGTCCTTGCCCTTTCTTAAGAACAGGCGACTAAAATAGCTATCACCATCATCATCATTTCAGCCACAGGACGTCGACTGCTGCATTTAGGCCTCCCCCAATGACTTCCACATCGCACAGTTGGTAGCGGCCTGCATCCAGCGCCTTCCTGCTACCAGAGTAAATACAAATTACGCACCTCACCGCTAAATTTTGTCAGTGTGTGCGTGCGCGCCGCATACGTATTGGCGCGCTCACATACAAACCGCGCTCGGGTGTTTCTATGAAGATGACCTACTCATTTGTATTTACTCTGGTTTTAGCTAATGCATGTTCTAAAATGACAGTTTCTTACCTACAGGGTCACGCCGCCCCTATCCTATACGCGGCTTGGGCTGAAGCCGGTCTGTTCCCGGTCGATGAGCTGAAGAACCTCCGTAAACTGGACTCAGACCTTGAAGGACACCCCACACCTAGACTGAGCTTCGTGGATGTGGGCACAGGCTCGCTGGGCCAGGGACTGGCCGTCGCGGCCGGTATGGCGTACGTGGGGAAATACTTCGACCAGGCGCCTTACAGGTTTGTGTTAAATTCGGCCTTTGTGAAAACTAGGCGGTGTTTCTAGGCGAACTGTGAACTGAATCGGTTGCTAACTCACTGTCTAGTTAACGGTAAACTGTATAGTTCGCGCTGTATCGACACTACGTGTAAATATCGCTCGAGAAGCAAACAGTTAACCGCTCGTAGTCCGCCTATCTTTATACTGAAGTCAAACTATTAGGGGATGGTTTTCGCAGTTGACGCAGCATATCTTTGAAATATACCATTATTATTAAAATTTGTTTGTCATATTGAAGAAATCGGGCGTCGATCGAGGCCTAATATTTCCACTTAACCTCTATTACTGGGGTTGGTTAAAACTCTGTTCATTAAAATTTATTAACACAACTTTTTATACGAGTATCATATCAGTTAACGACAACTTCACACAAATACCTGTTCGCACACTAAACCTTTTTCAATCTCTCCAGGGTGTACTGCTTGGTCGGAGACGGTGAAGCCGCCGAAGGTAGCATCTGGGAGTCGCTGCACTTCGCCAGCCACTACAAACTAGACAACCTGGTGGTCATCTTCGACGTCAACCGTCTTGGACAGTCCGAGCCTACCTCCTTGCAACACAAGGTAATAATCAGCAAGTCATTTAGGTGTGTGATTTCTACAGAGTAGAATAGGACTGTGGGATATGATATGATGCTCAACCACAATAAGGAAGCTAAGGTGTTAGTGCTTCCTGCCGAGCGGGTGTTATGCTCGGGGACCGAGGTCCAATTTACACCATCTTGGTTTGTCTATATATACTTGGCAGGGTAGAAAACTCCGTCACCGCGATGCAGGTTTGTATGAGCGGCGAAGTGTGCCATAGTGAAGTAGTGACAGCGCCATCTGTTGGTACACAGTTTGTAGTGGCGTATCGTCTATGTCGCCACAGGACCCTACTCTTCTCATGCATCTGGGAGTCCCTACACTTCCAGCCACTACAAACTAGACAACTTGATGGTCATCTTCGACGTCAACCGTCTGGGACAGTCCGAGCCTACCTCGCTGCAGCACAAGGTAATAATCAGCAAGTCATTTAGGTGTGTGATTTCTGCAGAGTAGAATAGGACCCCACTCTTCCCATGCATTTAGAAGTCACTACAAGCTAGACAACTTGATGGTCATCTTCGACGTCAACCGTCTGGGACAGTCCGAGTCTACCTCGCTGCAGCACAAGGTAATATCATAGAGTAGAATAGCACAGGGCAGAATAGACCACGACTACTTTTCTTGTGGATGTCGCAAGAGGCGAGAATATACATCATCATGCCTCCCAAACCCGTCTTTTTGGTCATATAGTCTCCATTGTAGGAGCACGACCCTCTTATTTAGTTGATCGTCAAACATTTTTACACAATGAGAAGTGGTATTGCTTTATCTCTTAGCAGTTTCATAGACATATTGTGTAAAATAAGTGTATCCCAAAACAACCCTCTGATTGTGTCAGGAATTTTCTAGAGTATCTTTTTGGTATACAACATTAAAATTTATATCAAGCATACAGTAACAAATACTCGTATTGTTGCGACTCTTTTTTTTTTTGGGAAAAAAAAGACAATAAAAGGATCTTAGCAACTTAGGCTAAGTTGCACCATCTTACTTTAACTTTGACAAACGTCAAAAATCTGTCAAATCCATACAAAAAACACCAGTTATCCTTAAAGTTACGGTCAAAATTACTTGTGTAACTCAGCCTTAAAATCTTAACTAAACAAAAAAAAAGTTTTTTCACTGTCACCACTGTCTATGCTTAACTTGTTAAACGCCGAGTGTGCCTCTAAAATTCCTCTTCCTTAACACGGTCTTTTTCTAACCGTCTTTTCCCCAACAGCTGGAAGTCTACGACGCGCGTCTCAAAGCCTTCGGTCTCCACAGCCTCGTGGTAGACGGTCACGATGTGTCCGAGCTCGTCAAAGCATTCGACGAGGCTGCCTCCACCAGCGGCAAGCCTACCGCGCTGGTAGCTAAGACCTTCAAGGGTAGAGGCTTCCCGGGGATTGAGGATCTAGAAAACTGGCACGGAAAGGCCTTGGGTGCTGAGGGAGAGAAGATTATCAAGGTAAGATTGATTATTGTGTGTTTATTACTATGAACTAGCGGCCGCCCGCGCCTTCGTACGCGTGGACCTCGTTTTACCCCCGTTAGATATCATGTTGATAGATGGCGTTTCACGGCATGAATATTTACGAACGTCAAAAACAGTAGTTTATCCAGCGCTGTAGTATTGTAACCAATGACAATAGATGGCGCTTCTTAGACACGTCTTATTTATTTATTGAAATTTATTTGTCACATGTCGTCATAAATTATAGCCTATATGTTAATCTGGGTTATAAACAATAATACTGTAAAGTTTCAACAAAATCCGTTCAGTAGTTTTTGCGTGAAAGAGTAAAAAACATCCAGATATCATGACATCCAGAAATCCAAACTTTTGCCTTTATAATATTAGTAGGATTATTGTGGATGTGATCAAATAACATCACCAGTAACTTCAGATATTTTTATGAGCTGTCAAACCATTAGTTTTTGTGTCTGTATTTTATTAAAGCTTTTAAGGATAGGTCGGTTCTATCGTATATTTATGGCGCAGTTACACTATGCGAGAAATTAACGAGCATAATAGTGTAAACACGCACTTAAATTAGTTTCGCCGTGGGTCGCCCATACTTCGGTGTGCGTGCTCGCGCTTCGTCTCGGTCATTTTCCCGCATAGTGCAACTGCGCCATTAAACAATGCTATCCATTGACACTGAAGTAAAAAATAGTAATTTGAGAACAGTGTTGACGTAATTAAGACGTTGTTTCTCTGTAAAGTTTGTATGGAAATACCTAATGTCATTTCAAGGTCATCTGACTAAATGAATGGATTTGAACTCAGTAGAAATCAAATATGAATTTTGTATAAATATTACTTTTAATATAATGTTTATTGTTATTCCCAGCACCTGCAAAGCCAGATCAAGAACAACACCGTGAGCCTCAAGCCAAAACCACCTCTAGCCGAGGCCCCTAAGGTCCACATTGGAGACATCACTCTCTCATCCCCGCCCGCTTACAAGGCTGGTGAACAGATCGCCACTCGCCTGGCGTATGGCGTCGCTTTGAAGAAGATTTCTGACACCAACATGCGGTAAGTTGTAGCTAGAAAGATAACTGTGACGTTCAAGCCAAAACCACCTCTAGCTGAGGCCCCTAAGGTCCACATTGGAGACATCACTCTCTCATCCCCGCCCGCTTACAAGGCTGGTGAACAAATCGCCACTCGCCTGGCGTATGGCGTCGCCTTGAAGAAGATTTCTGACACCAACATGCGGTAAGTAGCTAGAAAGATAACTGTGACGTTCAAGCCAAAACCACCTCTGGACGAGGCCCCTAAGGTCCACATTGGAGACTGTCACTTTGTCATCCCCACCCGCTTACAAGGCTGGTGAACAGATCGCTACCAGGCTGGCGTATGGCGTCGCCTTGAAGAAGATTTCTGACACCAACATGCGGTAAGTTCTAGCTAGAAAGATAACTGTGACGTTCAAGCCAAAACCACCTCTGGACGAGGCCCCTAAGGTCCACATTGAAGACATCACTGTCATCCCCTCCCGCGTACAAAGCTGGTGAACAAATCGCCACTCTCCTGGTATATGGCGTCGCTTTGAAGAAGATTTCTGACACCAACATGCGGTAAGTTCTAGCTAGAAAGATAACTGTGACGTTCAAGCCAAAACCACCTCTAGACGAGGCCCCTAAGGTCCACATTGGAGACTTGTCACTTTGTCATCCCCACCCGCTTACAAGGCTGGTGAACAGATCGCTACCAGGCTGGCGTATGGCGTCGCCTTGAAGAAGATTTCTGACACCAACATGCGGTAAGTTCTAGCTAGAAAGATAACTGTGACGTTCAAGCCAAAACCACCTCTGGACGAGGCCCCTAAGGTCCACATTGGAGACGTCACTCTCTCATCCCCTCCCGCTTACAAGGCTGGTGAACAGATCGCTACCAGACTGGCGTATGGCGTCGCCTTGAAGAAGATTTCTGACACCAACATGCGGTAAGTAGTAGCTAGAAAGATGACTGTGACGTTCAAGCCAAAACCACCTCTAGACGAGGCCCCTAAGGTCCACATTGGAGACATTACTCTCTCATCCCCGCCCGCGTACAAGGCTGGTGAACAAATCGCCACTCGCCTGGCGTATGGCGTCGCCTTGAAGAAGATTTCTGACACCAACATGCGGTAAGTAGTAGCTAGAAAGATAACTGTGACGTTCAAGCCAAAACCACCTCTGGACGAGGCCCCTAAGGTCCACATTGGAGACTGTCACTTTGTCATCCCCACCCGCTTACAAGGCTGATGAACAAATCGCTACCAGGCTGGCGTATGGCGTCGCCTTGAAGAAGATTTCTGACACCAACATGCGGTAAGTAGTAGCTAGAAAGATGACTGTGACGTTCAAGCCAAAACCACCTCTGGACGAGGCCCCTAAGGTCCACATTGGAGACATCACTCTCTCATCCCCGCCCGCTTACAAGGCTGGCGAACAAATCGCCACTGGCGTATGGCGTCGCTTTGAAGAAGATTTCTGACACCAACATGCGGTAAGTTGTAGCTAGAAAGAACTGTGACGTTTAAGCCAAAACCACCTCTAGCCGAGGCCCCTAAGGTCCACATTGGAGACATCACTCTGTCATCCCCGCCCGCTTACAAGGCTGGCGAACAAATCGCCACTGGCGTATGGCGTCGCTTTGAAGAAGATTTCTGACACCAACATGCGGTAAGTAGTAGCTAGAAAGATAACTGTGACGTTCAAGCCAAAACCACCTCTGGACGAGGCCCCTAAGGTCCACATTGGAGACTGTCACTTTGTCATCCCCACCCGCTTACAAGGCTGGTGAACAGATCGCTACCAGGCTGGCGTATGGCGTCGCCTTGAAGAAGATTTCTGACACCAACATGCGGTAAGTAGTAGCTAGAAAGATAACTGTGACGTTCAAGCCAAAACCACCTCTGGACGAGGCCCCTAAGGTCCACATTGGAGACTGTCACTTTGTCATCCCCACCCGCTTACAAGGCTGATGAACAAATCGCTACCAGGCTGGCGTATGGCGTCGCCTTGAAGAAGATTTCTGACACCAACATGCGGTAAGTAGTAGCTAGAAAGATGACTGTGACGTTCAAGCCAAAACCACCTCTGGACGAGGCCCCTAAGGTCCACATTGGAGACATCACTCTCTCATCCCCGCCCGCTTACAAGGCTGGCGAACAAATCGCCACTGGCGTATGGCGTCGCTTTGAAGAAGATTTCTGACACCAACATGCGGTAAGTTGTAGCTAGAAAGAACTGTGACGTTTAAGCCAAAACCACCTCTAGCCGAGGCCCCTAAGGTCCACATTGGAGACATCACTCTGTCATCCCCGCCCGCTTACAAGGCTGGCGAACAAATCGCCACTGGCGTATGGCGTCGCTTTGAAGAAGATTTCTGACACCAACATGCGGTAAGTTGTAGCTAGAAAGATAACTGTGACGTTCAAGCCAAAACCACCTCTAGCCGAGGCCCCTAAGGTCCACATTGAAGTCTGTCACTTTGTCATCCCCACCCGCTTACAAGGCTGGTGAACAGATCGCTACCAGGCTGGCGTATGGCGTCGCTTTGAAAAAAATTTCTTACACTAACATGCGGTGAGTTGTGTATAGATGACCCACGCTGAACTGTCCCGCCAAACTCAATGACAGGGGGGCGCTACCATCGTTCAACTTTATGGTTTCCAACATGGCAAAAATCGGAACCAGCGATTCGGTATTGACGGTGGCGCCCCGCTGTCAATGTCATCGATAGGACAGTTCAGTATTTTGGAACTATAAAGTCATTATAACAGCTAGGGACTGGAATTCGCTGCTTGCTGCTGTCTTTCCCGAATACTAATCCGAGCCTTTTCAAGGCGAGAGTGAATAGGCACTTATAGGGCAGATATGTACCATCCTAGATTGCATCTCACTTAACATCAGGTGCGGTTGCGGTCAAATACCTGCCTTGTTCTGCATTTTGCAAATTAATTAAATTGACTTCATATACAAGTCCCAGTTAAAACCTACCACTGATTAAGCACAACTATGTGTACCAATGCTGAGAATAAGCAGCGCAAGAAACTCTGTCGTTAGAGGGCACTTAAACGCGTCCCAAATATAACTTGCCGAACCATAGTTTTGGTACAATATATCAGCTAATTCCTAAAAGTGGCGGAAGAAACTCCTTTTGCCTCTTATTTATTACAGGAAATATCATTTACAGGTAATTGCACGCAGTAAATACTTAGAAATGCGATTTACATAATTGCGTTTCCAACACCAGTGCAAATAGCAAATCGTTTGTCGTACTCACACGACCGCCATCGGACGATGTGGGCAGTAGCATTCGTACATTATTCATAAAGTATAATATCAATATTCAAAAGCATCATTTCGTCCCACTAGCATATCTTACAGTGTAGTGGAACAATTAAAATAATTGTCGTAGGAAAGCCTTGAAATCACTGTATGTATTTAACATTTAATTCTTTGGGAAAATAGCAAGCTATAGCAAACATGTAACTTTTAGCATATGGGACCGCTTTTTTAGAAGCTGAATGTAGCGACCACACATTCCACACCGCACACTTAAAAACGCCAAATATTATTAAGATTTCTAATGTCACACACATGTATTGAGATGATCTAATATCACGTACAAAAATCCTTTTCCAATACTTATAAAGAAGACTTAAATTGTGTTTTTAATCACTAATTTAAATAGTTTTATGTAAAGTTTAATTATGTTTTTATTTTGTTATAGCGTGATTGCTTTGGACGGTGACACCAAGAACTCCACCTTCAGTGACAAGCTGCGCAACGCATACCCTGAGAGGTAAGAAGAATACATTCTGATGTTTTGAGCTTGATTCCATTTAAGCAATATGTTAGTAGGAATGTAAAAAAGAGCTGGTCTTCAAGCAATACAAAATTCTGCAAAATACGTCAACGCCATCAGGTTTAGTGTCCACTGCAGGAGAATGACTGTCGTGACTACACCGATCAAAATGGCGCGAATCTGGGGGCACGGNTGTCGATGTGAAAGTGCAACTTATAACTTATGTTTATTTTTTTATAATTATTTATTGAGTGCAGACTAGTGAGCAGTTCACTGTGAGTGCTATTAATACAGGGTGGAAACGATAAGTGATCTCATTCGATTATTTCTAAACTACACAAGATATCGAAAAACTGCTTACAGTACCTCTAGTACGAAAAACTTTCGAGTTCGTTTCGTTTGCGTATTCAAAGTGTCATCGAAAAATTTTGTATGAAAAATTAAACAGCGCCCCCTAGGGCGGCTATAATATAGGGGGCGCTGTTTAATTTTTCATACAAAATTTTTCGATGACACTTTGAATACGCAAACGAAACGAACTCGAAAGTTTTTCGTACTAGAGGTACTGATCTTGAAAGTGCTTCACGAGCTCTTTCAAACGATATCAGTAATAGGTGACAGAATTAACTGGATCTATCCGAAAAGTCAACGTGTCCCAAAATTCAAGGATAAGCCGGCGCCGCAGGATGGACAATATGGACATAGTCATGACTACTTTAGGAAAAATAAGGAAAAAAATCTATCTCAATTATTTTTTAAGTTACACAATAAATTACGAATTTCTTCGAATATTGACACCCCTTATGATATTTTACATTACCATTACCACGACCACCATTTTTCAAATATTTCTGTTTTTTTGTTTGTATCGGCAACTTAAGTAGTGTTGCCGTCCACCCAAACTCTTAAAACCCCCAGAATCCTTGCAGTTTTTACACAAAAGTTAATCAAAATATTTTATTTCCTTAAAATTTTGAACGATTTTTACTTTCACTTCACTTATACTCATCGTTTTGTAAAAAAAAAGTATGAACACTACTGCGGCAAGTTTTTTATAAAGTTGACGCAACTATCCAAGATTCCAAAATGGTATAATACTCTAAGAAGTCTAGTCGCAAAAAAGATATGCGTACCATTTTTACAAGCACTTCGCTTGTTAGTTAGTATGAGATAAATCTTGCAACTGAATTTAAAACCAGTTCTCCTCAACCGATTGAGCTGAAATTTGGTATACTTATGTAAGTACGATGAAAATGCAATATTGCGATGGCCAAGTCAATATATTTATGTAAAACGTTAAAGATTTCCTGGCCTGGACTTGGTATTACATGGATCTCACAACTTTTTACCGTAGAACAACTGAGTTGCGAGACTTGGTTTTTTTGACAAGTATTGTTTTTGATGGGATATTTGTTATGCGCAGCTTTAGGGCCCTGTAACTTTTGTATTTGTAAAGCCCGGTCTGTGTTGCTGTCGCGCTCGCACACTCACTGCGGGCGCCCGTCGCACAGTCGCGACAGCAATATAATTACGCGCGAGCGATAAGGATGGGTAGCATGGGGTCATTGTACAAAATTCTACGTGCTCACAGACCAGACTATAAAGATATTTTCATGATTCTTTCACAATTATTATTAGTTTTACTAATATTTTCAATATTAAAAGAAAAAAAATTGGTAACTTGTCCATTGTCTTGCAACAAAAGCCATTTCAGATTTTGCGGCGATACGTCGCCTGCTTTCTGCTGTAGTCTTCGAACTCGTACTTTTAGTCGCCTCTTACGACATTTACGGCAAGAGTGGGGTCATATTCTACTATGCTGGAAACACACGGTTTTTCAATGTTAACCCTTTCCGCGTAGGTACATCGAGTGCTTCATTGCTGAACAGAACTTGGTTGGTGTGGCGACAGGCGCCGCGTGCCGTGACCGTGCTGTCGTCTTTGCATCTACTTTCGCTGCCTTCTTCACCAGAACCTTTGACCAGGTAAGAAGACGTGGTATCGCTTGGTTTTGTCAGGACAAAATTGTGCAATCATCTCAGTTTATGTGGCAATTCACTGCTATAAGCCCCCTTAAATAATTCCTGGGAGAGGCTGTATAGCTTCTGAGGAAGATGTCCTACTAATAATGTAGGAGTGAATGGGTGCGTTTGGCTGAAAATAGAAATTTTGCAAACGTGTCCTCGCCTAATCTTTTTCTTAAAGGTTTTAAACCTTTGTTTGTCACCTGTCATCCGCTTTGCAATGGAGGGAAGTCGAACCTTAATTTCGAACTCCTCCTATGTTCTTCTGATTAATTTCGTTGCGGGTCCAATGACAGTTTAACTTTCCCCCGGGACAAACTTGACCTTCATTGGTTGGGTTTTTGTGGCGGTCAAGCTGTAGATCCTGGCTACACAGGAGTTGCAGTGGTGGGAACGAGAGGTGGGAATAGTCCCGTAAACGTGTCCTCGCCGAAAACAGGCGAAAGTTTTCGGCAGTTGCCATAGCGATCGTCATTTTGCTTACAATTTATATTTTCGGCCAAACGCCCTCAATATTTGTGAGCATGATGTTTGTCACTTACATAAAATGCAGGCCAAGAGCTACCTCGTTGCGGTTGACGTGTTTTATTTTTCTTTTCCCTATTATGGATAAAGCTATACAAATTAGTTCTTCAAACCAAAAACACATTGCTCTAAAACAAAATGTTTTTATATTACTCCTTGTCTAGTACCAGAATACAAGCGAGTACGATGCCCCATGATATTAATCAATTTATTTTACGGTACACAGATTCGTATGGGCGCCATCAGTCAGTCCAACATCAACCTGGCTGGTTCCCACTGTGGTGTGAGCATCGGAGAAGACGGCCCCTCCCAGATGGGTCTTGAGGACTTGGCTCTCTTCCGCGCTGTGCCCACCGCCACTGTATTCTACCCATCGTGAGTATCCATTACAGGGTATAAAGGTCCCACACAGTGTATAAAGGTCCCATACCATAAAGTGTATAGAGGTCCCGTACCGTGTATAGAGGTCCCGTACAGTGTATAGATGGCCCGCACAGTGTATAAAGGTCCCGTGTCGTGTATATAGGTCCCGTACAGTGTATAGAGGTCTCGTACAGCGTATAGAGGTCCCGTACAGCGTGTAGAGGTCCCATACAGTGTATAGAGGTCCCGTACAGTGTATAGAGGTCCCGTACAGTGTATAGAGGTCCCGTACAGTGTATAGAGGTCCCGTACAGTGTATAGAGGTCCCGTACAGCGTATAGAGGTCCTGTACAGTGTAGAAGTCCCGTACGGGGCACCATTCTAACATCAACCTGGCTGGTTCCCACTGCGGCGTGAGCATCTAAGAAGACGGCCCCTCCCAGATGGGTCTCGAGGACTTGGCTCTCTTCCGCGCTGTGCCCACCGCCACTGTGTTCTATCCCTCGTGAGTATCTAGTGTATAGAGGCCCCATACAGAGTATAAAGGTCCCATACAGTGTATAGAGGTCCCGTACGAGGCATCAGTAACATCAACCTGGCTGGTTCCCATTGTGGTGTGAGCATCGGAGAAGACGGCCCCTCCCAGATGGGTCTCGAGGACTTGGCTCTCTTCCGCGCTGTGCCCACCGCCACTGTGTTCTATCCCTCGTAAGTATCTAGTGTATAGAGGCCCCGTACAGTGTATAGAGGTCCCGCACTGGCTGATTCCCACTGGGAGTGGATAGTCCCTCCCAGATGGGACTCGAGGACTTGGCTCTCTTCCGCGCTGTGCCCACCGCCACTGTGTTCTATCCCTCGTGAGTATCCCGTACAGTGTATAAAGGTCCCATACTGTGTATAGAGGTCCCGTACAGTGTAAAGAGGTCCCGTACGGGGCACCAGTCTAACATCAACCTGGCTGGATCCCACTGCGGCGTGAGCATCGGAGAAGATGGCCCCTCCCAGATGGGTCTCGAGGATTTCGACTCTTCAGACTCTTCGGACTCTTCCGCGCTCTGTACCCACCGCCACTGTGTTCTATCCCTCGTGAGTATCTAGAGTATTCGGGTCCCGTACAGAGTTAGAGAAGTCTGAAGACGTAGGCAGGCCTCCCACTAGGTGGACCGACGATCTGGTGAAGGTCGCGGGAGGTGCCTGGATGCGAGCGGCGCAGGACCGGTTTTTGTGGAAAACCTTGGGGGAGGCCTTTGTCCAGCAGTGGACGTCTTTCGGTTGAAACGAACGAACGAACAGAGTTAGAGGTCCCGTACAGTGTGTAGAGATCCCGTACAGTGTATAGAGGTCCCGTACAGTGTATAGATGTCCCATACAGTGTATAGAGGTCCTGTACGGGGCACCATTCTAACATGAACTTGGCTGGTTTCCACTGTGGTGTGAGCATCGGAGAAGACGGCCCCTCCCAGATGGGACTCGAGGACCTGGCTCTCTTCCGCGCTGTGCCCACCGCCACTATGTTCTATCCCTCGTGAGTATCTAGTGTATAGAGGTCCCGTACGGGGCATCAGTTAGACAACAACCTGGCTGGCTCCCGTAACCCGTATAGTGTATAGTGGTCCTGTACGGGGCAACAACCATTTCAAAGTCGATCGTACCGACCTACTAGATAACCCCTCAAAGATTGTGAGATTCATCTTCTGTAAGTATTCACCACTAAAGGATTATTAGCAGTTAAAAACTGTATGCAGTAAACTGAGTTGCACTAAGTAAATAGGTACATGAAGTGTGACTTCAATAGTTGCGTTTCTTTTACTAGTGCAATAGCAAAGTGTTTGTCGTACTCACACGACCGCCATCGGACGATGTGGGCAGTAGCATTCATACACTGAGACATTTTTATGTAATTACCGAATAAAAAATAATCAAACACAAATAAATAATGCCTGAATTTTATTAATGCCTGAGCCCACCGTACCTACGAGGTCTCATTGAATATATCATTCCCCGTGTACGTTATGTATCAATGAATTGTTTTTAAAGATTTCTGTACCTGTAGGGTTTATTTATGTACTCCCCACTATATCTATCATCGGACTGCGTATTTTAATAGATAGACAGTCAACAAGACTAAATAAAATTATATTTTAATGTACCTTTTTTAGGCTTATTATAAAAATATCATGTTATTCACAGTGACGGTGTGTCGACCGAGCGTGCCGTAGAACTGGCAGCCAACACTAAGGGCATCTGCTACATCAGGACTTCCCGCCCCAACACAGACATTCTGTACGCCAACGATGAGGTGTTCAAGGTACGAAGCGTTTGATTTGCAAACGATGTATTTAAGTACATGAGAAATAAATAAATAAATCTTTGGACAATTTCACACAGCGCCAGCTAACCCCAAAGTAAGCAACTTAATGCTTGTGTTATGGGTGCTAGCTTAACGGATATACTACTTATATACTTTTTTTAAATACATACTTATACATAGAAACGCCCAGACCCGCCACAGAAATTAAAATTCATCATTTCAATTTCTGCCCGGCCGGGAATCGAACCCGGGACCTCTCTGCATAGTAGTCCGTTCTGAACCACTACACCAAACGGCCGACAAATAGCTGTCGATAGGGCATCGAGATCGCATTGTCCTCATACAGCGTGAGATGTCCACCTACAAAGTGTAGTCAAAAAGGTTGTATGCAGGCCGCTTTCAACGAACCAAGCTGCAAGTCATTGGAGGAGGCCTATGTTCAGTAGGAAACGTCCTGTTTTTAAAATGATGATGTCTAAAGCCTGGTCCGTGAGCACGTAGAATTTTATTGCTGTCGCGACTGTGCGACGGGTGCCCGCAGTGAGTGTGCGAGCGCGACAGCAACATAACTACGCGCGAGCGATAAGGATGGGTAGCTTGGGGTCATTGGACAAAATTCTACGTGCTCACGGACCAGACTTTAGTGAGGCTTGATGGAACCGGTTCTCAGTTGTTTGAACCAAATAAACCATTTTTCTTTCTTTCTTTCTTTCATGGAAGTCATTGGGGGAGGCCTATGTTCAGCAGTGGATGTCACATGGCTGAAATGAGGATGATGATGAGGCTTGCTATTACATTAAAATGTGTTTCCGGAGTATTTCTCCTGTTGGAACAGGTATTCTGTGAAGTCAGTTCCTTAAAGGCGTCCACTTGTCGGTATCGTACGCAACGGACGCATCGTACAAAACACATCGTATCGGATGTGCGATGCGTACAATGCGGACAGGTGGACGCACTTATATGAGTTTCTATACAGGGTGTTGATTTCAATCCTCGCCATATTCAGGGAGTTGATTATGTAGCTTATTCTGATTACGAATGAGTAAAAAAATTTACTTAAAAAAAAAATTCAAACGAACTTTAACTTTAGGTAGTCAAAGAAAAATACCTTTTACACTACCTACTTTAAGTGGCTTCCTTCAGGAGGTTATCCAACATGATAAGTGAGCGATCCGTGTAGCTCGATGAGTGCCGCAGTGTAAACTATTGCAATATTGCGAGCCACAGTACAGTTAATTTTGCACGGAAAATACTCGCTAAAAATTCCACTTTCGTTTGTAATTTTTTTTTGGTGGATAATGAGTTTATGTAAGTCATAATAGATCACCTAAATAAATATGGCGAGGATTGAAATCAACACCCTGTATAAATAATACTATGATCCGTTGCGTGCGATACGTCCGATGCGTACGATACCGACATGTGGACGCTAGCCTTAACTCTCACGTTATGTTAACAGGTCGGCCAAGCCAAAATCGTCCGTGAGTCCGCCAAGGACAAGGTTCTGTTGATCGGCGCCGGCGTCACTCTGCACGAGGCTGTCACCGCCGCCAACAAGCTGAAGGAAGAAGGTATGATTGTAGCACTTATTACGCTAGTGTTAGAGTTCAAATTTGAATCTCTCTAGTTCTGTTTCTTTTGTCTGCGTCTTGGTATTTGATTTTTGGTTGGACTTGGAAATGATTTGTATTTATTTGGAGACAAATGCAAGAGACACGAATGAATTCCACGCGGAATCCGAACCTGCAAATGCAAGGGCTGTTGTGGTTCGCTGTGTTAATTACAGGATAACTGTTTTTTTTTTGTATAGGAGTATAGGAGTGGCATGGGTGGGAGAGTGTTTTTGTGACATCAAACGTCAATGAGACTTCCGTCTTAATGCTCTGACAAGTCATGTCATCGTTGTGGCTAAACGCAAACCGCGAAAACCAAGAAAAGAAAAGTCATATGTCGTCTCTTGCGTGCCACTCCCAATCAGGCATGTCTCAGTTATATGCTAGACATACAGTTCCATAGTGAAAGTTGTTAATTTTGATGACAGAACAAAGCCACCCTTATAGATATGTATAGATCTAATATGTATGTTAATCAACAACCAAATCTCTTCCAGGCGTGGACGCGCGAGTCTTGGACCCGTTCACAATCAAGCCCCTGGACGAGGCCGCCGTAATTAAGCACGCACGTGCTGCTGGTGGCAGGATCGTCGTGGTTGAGGACCACTACCAAGCCGGTGAGTGACAAAGACATTCGTTTCAGCAAAATAACGTCCACTTCTGGACAAAGGCTTCCTTGTACTAGAAATTTCTGAGCTGCTGGTACTTCCGCGACTTTCACTAGATTGTCGGTCCACTGAGTGGGAGGCCAACACAAAAGGACGAAATCACATGGGAGTAATCCTACCTCTCTTTCCTTCTAACTTTATATCTTAGCAAAAAATCATCTGCAAAATTTATTTAAAAAAAATCATATAACAATATCAGTTCAGTAGACTTGGATGAGCCCCGCGACAAGCCTTTATCGCGCCACATTATCGATTTTACGCGATAAACTCATACGTCTAAAATCATCGATAACATTTTATCACGATGCGCATCCTAGCCCGGCAAAACTAATTTTCAAAGTTGACGTTTGACTCATGTATTTTACTATGAATTTTATATTCTAGGTGGACTCGGCGAGGCGGTTCTCTCAGCTGTAGCCTTAGAACGCGATATCGTGGTCAAGCATGTCTACGTGCGTGAAGTCCCGCGCTCAGGCCCGCCTACAGCGTTGCTCGACAAATACGGCATCTCGGCTCCCCACGTGGTCGCCGCCGCCAAAGCCGTCCTTAAGGCGTAGGCCGAAGGCGCAAAACGGTTTGTCAGTTACTGTTCTTATGTAGATAGTCTTCCGTGTGTGATGAGCGTACGAGACGGCATTTGTTTTTTGTTCCAATAGTTTTGAAAAGTGGGCGTGGCTAAAACTTCAACACCAACGCGTGCTTATCGCCATTGCCGGCGCGATCAAAGGCCAATGACAGATCGCGCGACACATGACAGTTCACGCGACCTATCCCTATAATTTCCCTATGATCGCACGATCGATTGGTTTAACTTTCTTTTGTTTTTATTAAAAATGAATAGAAATGCTACGTCTACTTACATGTTACTTGTGAGTGGAAGTGCCGTAATACAGGGTGTGCGAAGGCTAAAATGGTGTTTAGCGATTTTACGCTTACGGCATAAAATTGTAACAGAAATGTGATATATCTTTGCGCAAATTTAGATTGTTATAAAATGATCTGGGTGTATTGTGATAAATTCGATAAGAACAGTAACTATTTAAAAAAAACATTCCCGTGTCACAGATTCCATAAGAATTGCCTCCTAAAATTGGAAAATAAATGTAAACCGGTTTTAACTATTTTTAACCGGTTTTTAAGTACACTGCGTAGTTCCTAACGCTACACTAGATGTAAGAATCGATGATCATGGTTGTATGTTATATTATAGATTTTTATATCTTTTATATGTTACTATATTATATGTGTAATATCGTATATAACGTTTATAAGTGCCTTTATATTGAAAGACGCACAAGGTATATAGACTGTTGAAAGGTATATAGGTTTTGGAAAGATTTTGAAGGGTTAGGTGATAAGTGTAACTACCCGCATTTTTGCCTGTTTCGTATATGTTAGCCAGGATATGGCTATATCTATTTTGGGACCATTGTTGCTTGATATTTTTATATTCCTTGTTACATCCTTTTTTGTAGATGATTTAACTGTGTGATTTCTTTGAAAGAAATAATCCTGATTAAAATTATTATTGTTATGTCATCGAATTGGAGGCTAAAATCTTTGTTTAATCGTAGACTTCCTTCGTTGATAAATCACAAAACGTTTAGATTTGGTTAAAGTTTATTTCTGGGACGTTTACATTCCTTTTTTGCATAACAGAAACATTCTGTAATAAAGTTTATTGAGTACAAAACTGAGTTTTTTATTATACAAAACAATTTAATTATATTATTTATATATTAAGTTCATTAAAATGTCTGTACAAGTTAAAACAACTAACAAATGAGTATAAAACTTAACAGTAATGACTAGATAAGACTCTTGCTTTTTATATGTACAATTTATTTGAACTAGGCCTTATTTTAAGTTAGAGGTGTCAACTGACTAGTTTTGTTAGTATATTTAAAAAAAAAAACTTAACTTTACATCAAACGTATAACACATCCTATACAAAAATAGTGAAATATTTATACAAAATGTAATCAAGTTTGATTTTTTAATGACAAATATAAATATTGATTGTCAATAACATATTAAATAATTCGCTTTGACGGATTTGCCATGTACACTTATTATAAAAATGCTAACAGCTTAAAACGTTTTACAACTTATAAATTACTGGTTAAAATTAGGTACAACAGGAGCACAACACTAACTATTGTCACAATTTGATACAAAATTAATATATTATTTGAGCTCAGATCACCAATATCCGTAACAAAAACATTAGGGCTCATTTCACCACCTACAAATTAATATTTACAACCTTTTTGTATGCAAAAAGTTTAAACACACACCTGTCCAGGATATTGAGATATCAATCGTTTTGAAAAGACCCTCTAGTAGTGAAATAAACCCTAAACATATTAATATAAGGTACACAACACAAAAACATAAAGCGACACACATTTCAGTACTTGGACGGAGCGGCGATTCAGAAATTCGGAGTAACTTTTAGTCTCACTATATATAAATAAATGCATCTGTCGGCCATTTTGGGCCGGTACATCGCGTCACTTCTTTGGCTTATACTGGGCATGATTCCACTGCCTCTATAAATCAAACCATCTCTTTCTTTCTTTAGTAAATAAAAAGGGACAACATGATTTGTATCTATCATATTACTGTGGTGGAATACTTTGTTAAATGTATCTTTTGGCAGTTTGTAAGAAAGAGATACAATGACAGTTTTAGAGCTAGTAAACATTTGTGGAATCGAACCTATAGCCCTGGTAAAGACTAGGGACTGATAGCGTCGTGCAAAGCGTTTTTTAATTCTCACTCGCGTGTATTTTAATAAGCACTACCTCGGTTTGCATCAAACATTCTGGCGTAAAGTTATATCTGTCAAATTGACAGTTCTTCAACCTAATAAATAAAGTCTATACAGTTAGACTTCGACTAATAACTCCCAGCATGTTTCATTCAAACTTAATTTATTTATCCATAAAATAAAAACAGTCTTTCAGCACCATTTTAACTCTGTAGTTTCTTTTCATCAGTACTAGAAACTTTCTCAAAATAAGTTTTGATCTAAAACGGTGCTACACCTGTTATATTTTTTATGAAAACCACGGTTATTGTCTAGCACAGTCAGCATAAAACTAAACCAAAAAGAACACTATCAATCCCAACGTCCCGTCTCTCAGCCCCATTCTCCAGCTGTTCCTTCGTTTGCCGGAGACGGCTGTGGTTCAGGTACTGCTTCAGCATTGTTCCTCTCTTCCAACTCCCCAGGAAGATAATCCTTCCAACTCCTGAACAAATACCTCGTAAACTTCCGTAGTTGCCTAAACTTGCAGTAAGTTGCCCCTTCGGCTGATTGCAACTGCTGAGTCTGTATCAGAAACCCCTTCTCTTTAAACGTCTGCTCCAATTTCTCCCTCTGCAAACTCTTTTTAGACTTCCTTTTCTTCTTACTTAACTCTTCCTTGCTCAAAGATGTTGGGACTTCGACTTTCGCCACAGTTGACGCAGTAGCCTCAGCCTCAGCCTGTCTTCCTTGGTTTGAATTCTTATGCAAGTAATCATATCCTTTGTTACCCTTATTGCCAGTCCCGCTGTAGTATCTAAAGTTGCCTCCAGAATCTACTGACAGCATTTTCTTCTCTTGCAAAGAAGGCTTCGACCCACCAGTAAATTTAAATTTACAGATGCTGACTTCTGTCGTTGGAGTAGTTGAGCTAGTTTTCGTCGGCATAGGAGGGATGAATATTGCGGACCGTTTTCTCTTTACTGGACCCGTCACAGGATTTGGGGACGTCCTCTTCATTTTTGACTGGTCCGGACTTCGCTTCGCCTCTTCCACCTGCTTTATCACTTTGGGGTCTAACAGTTCTGATATTTGTTTGAGTACTAATTTGCTTTTGCTCTCGTCTAGTGACGAGTTTGGTTCAGTAGACACACTTTCGTTGACACTGCTTGGTGTTGAATTGGCACGGTCTTGATCCTCGCTAGGCAGCTGCCCAGCCGCTGCTAGCCTTTGGTAGTATAATAGTTGTGTTTGTAAAGCTAAAGGATGCATGTAGATGCCAGCGTTAGGCCAGTATACGTAACCAGGGAATTTCCCTTCGCCGTCTGGACTAGCGGTGGACTGTGCTGGCTCTGATAACGCTGGAGATATATTCCTAGTTTGCCTGGACAGGTCTGGTGAACTGCTCGCAGTGGCAGGCAGAAGATTCGTGTTCCTCTGTATCACAGAAATTGCATTCGACTGTTCAGTCTTTCGGATTTCTTGATCAGCTTCCGATTCCATTTCAGTTTTCACTTCAGGCATGGAAGGGTAGATGTTACCGAACTTTTTCTGAATTTGTAGCTTCAGATCTGAGAGATCTCTAATACACAAGTTCAAGGGTTCATCGTCGCTGTGTAGAGGCCCTGGGATAGTGAGAGGTGCTTCTGGCATCGGTTCATCAGGGCTGTTAAACCTTTGCGGCGACAGATTTTCTAACCGCCTTTTATTTTCTTGAGACAACTTCCTTTCTAATAGACTTGAAATAATTTTGTTCTGCAGATCTGTTTTAGGAGTACTTGTAGGAGCATTTTCAGGTCGATATTGAGTGTTCATTGACAGCTGGTTCAATCTATCCTGCACAGGAGGCGGTTGTCCTGGCACTACAGTTCCGTAATTTTCGTAGATTAAGTGGCAAATGTCTGCCTTTTTAGGTTTCCGGCCTCTTCTTGGCTTAGAGTTGTTCAATGTCATCTCGCCCATGTACGGAAGATCGTCGTAGGTCACGATCTTACTGGGTGCTATGGTTGGGTTTTTCTTCTTCTTTTCTTCAGCTTTGGGCTTCGCTGCCATGTTTAAGACCGACGTTACGCTAGGTACAGTTAATGTTCCCGTTTCGTTCTGTATTCCGGCTAGCCTCTGCGCCCATATCTTGAAGGTTTCATTGGTGATGTTGTTTAAGTCTATATTGGGTTCCACTTTGGGTTTCTCTTGTGGTTTTGGCTTCTGCGCTTGTTTAGCGTTGGCTTTCTGCAGGCTCTGCTCGTAGTGGTCGAGGTATTCCTGCGGGAGGGCCTGGTGGTGGAACTTCAGCTTCCATCGGTTCTTCTGCCGGTTCCGCACGTGCTTCTGCTTAGGCGGCTCTGTCTTTTCGGCGAGGCGATCTTTGCTGGCTGATAGGAGTTGCTGCCGGAGAAGCTCTTTGTTTTCTGATGTTCTGGAAAGGATGAAATAAACCAGTCAGTAAAAGATATCAAGGACTCCTAAAATTATCGAACTAAAATCTTGTACTAACATGACGCATTTGATTTGGGTATCAAATGGGTAATGCATGTTTATTTCTTCAGAAATCTTCTTGCGTACGTGATTATTTAGTGGAGTAGTAAAAAGTTATCATTAAATTCTAGTCTTATGAAGTGAGGGGTATGATATTATATTCGTAGACCACCCATATGAAACGGTTAACTAAACTAATACAACGCAATTTGATGGTCAGCCTGTCCCGTATAATATTCTGATATCATATGTTGCAATAATACTGAGCAGTTAAATCCAATGTGCGAATGCTACTGCCCACGACCGGCAATATGCGCGGAGTGAGTACGACAAACTATTAATATTGCACAAACATTGTTCGCGCATCCTTCAGAGCATGCGTGAGGTATTATGTTGTGCTACCTATTTAATACAGAATCGTTTCGAATAGGTACAATTTAACCATCATACTTAGGTATTTACCACAAACTGGTATCCGAAAAACGCAGAATATTATCATTTTAGACTATGATTGTCAACTGCTCTAAGTCGTCGCCCCAAGAAAACTGCGGCGCACTGTAGCAGACGAGGCGAAGAAAATCGGCAAGACCTGGAGCGAGATTAAGTCCGAACGTGATGAAGGACCGTTGTGGAAACCCTCTGTCCCATGTAGGGGACATAGGACCTTCAGTCAAGGGTCTACTGCTGGACGTACGAATAAGTCGCTCCTATGGAAATCTTTACATAAACTACTACATTCTGTAAGAATGGTCACCCATCCAAACTCCGACGGCAAAGCGCGTTGCTTAACTTCGGTTATCGCTACCAAAGCGCCGTCACCTTTGGGCTACGGGTACCGTATGTGTTGATAAAGAAAATAGGCATCACCTGTTAGGCTGCAGGGCTTGTGGCGCGGGCGCGGGCGGCGCGGGACACACGTCGCCGCACGCCACTCGGCGCATCACTTCTGAAACAACGAAATGTTCTATTTTAAACCCAAATTCAATGGTACGATTGTTGGATTCGGTTGTCATTGAGGAGGAAAACTGACAAGGTGTTTTAAAAGACTCTTGGAAGTCGCGTCAAATTGATTCGTACGTAGTTTGAAATTGTTTTCGTAGAGGGTGTAATTTGGAGAATCGGGGCCCTATTTATCAAAATCAAACAAAGCTAGAATTCTATGTCATTTTTCAAGTAACTCTACCAAACAAAAGTGTGTGAGGCTAGATGCACCCTATCATGGGAAAACAGCTAATTGGGCAATGAAGAAACTTAACTTTGCACTGACACACACGCACAAAGTCGCATTGGAATCTGACATCAAACTACAGTACCGTTTGGACAGTTTGGATCCGTTCACTGCTGCTAATTGACATACGACGACTACCTAGAAAATTGCAAATTGGCCAATTTGGTGTCCGGACACTGATTACCTAATCCTTCCACGCGACTGGAAGCCTACAATATTGTCTGCTCTGAATCATCGTAAGTCCAAAACGTTATCTTTATTTAAGTTTCGAATTAGCGCAGTCACCCGACCGCTTGCCCAAAAAAGCGGGCCGATTTGAACGTCTGAAACCCGAGCGCGACCGAAATACGCGCGCCCGAATAAAAGACGCTGCCTATTTCGCAACGCGCACGCGCATACGGGAACAACTCGCGCGCATTCGGGGAACAATATCAATTTCCCGCTATGAGTGCTGCATCTGCATTTGGATTTGGGACAAGTGCACGGTTGTGTGCAATTTTACGGTTTAGGGGAAAATCGGTATGAATGTAATGAGGACATTCGGGGAGAAAATAACATGGCATGGTTTTTTCTGCAAATACTTTACATTTATTACAACCTTATAAGTACCTATACCTACAATCCTACATATTGGATGCTGTCGTCCGTAGGTATACTAAATATATGATGGTAAACTACACGACTCAGTTTCACAAAAAAAGGTAAAGTACCCACCTAAATAGATGAGTTTATTTGAATAGACTGAAAGGACATAATGGTGGCCATACACGTTAGGGTTTGCATGATGGTTTTGACCGTACATGCTTAACCGACATGCAAACCCTAGCGTGTATGTTATAAAACTGTACAGTTATTGGTGCGTGTACATGCAACCTAAAGAATATCAAAAAAGATATTTTTGTCGCTCGGTTATGTTTGCGCACATGCATAACCGAGCGTGTGTGCGCCCGCTCATGCTTGCATGCACAGTTTTCTCTCAGTCTCCTATAGTCTGTGGCAGTGAATGTTGGTGAATATTTAAGACACTCATGTGTTCTCCCTGTTGCTAGAAATCTTAATGTTACTGCTAGGTTTGAGCTGTGCGTTGATAGATCACTATAACAGTCAGTCAGTCACCTTTGAGTTAAATAAATTTAGATTGTATATGCAAACCCTAACGTGTATGTGCTATAGATAACTCGGTTATACCTGTTGGTTAAGCATGTACGGTCGTAACCATCATGCAAACCCTAACGTGTATGGCCACCATTACACTTTAAATTACACCTTCTTGTGTAAATTGCATTAATGATTGTGTTTTAACCAAGAAAACAGTGAGACGACCGAGGACCGAGCCGCCTGGTGACGCATGACACTGAGAGCCGACCCCAAATAAAATGGGAATGGGCCAGGCAAAGAAGGTTTTGTTTTAACCCTTAATGTTAAAAATATACATAGTTAGATTATCAGGGTGTCCACATTCTGGAAAGTCAGGGNCGACTAGGTTTCTTAGATTACCATTTTTTAATCTTGGATAGTTGCGTCAACTTTAAAAAAACTTGCCTCAGTAGTGTTCATACTTTTTTTTTACAAAACGATGAGTCAAAATGGAGTGAAAGTAAAAATCGTTCAAAATTTTAAGGAAATATAATATTTTGATTAACTTTTGTGTAAAAACTGCAAGGATTCTGGGGGTTTTAAGAGTTGGGGTGAACAGCAGCACTACTTAAGTTGCCGATATAAACAGAAAACCAGGAATTATTGAAAAATTGTGGTCGTGGTAATGTAAAATATCATAAGGTGTGTCAATTTTCGTTGAATTTCATCATTTATTGTGTAAGTTAAAAAATAATTGAGATAGATTTTTTTCCTTATTTTTCCTAAAGTAGTCATGACTCATGACTATGTCCATCCTGTGGCGTCGGCTTACCCTTGAATTTTGGGACACGTTGTATACATAGATGGTCAGGGAATTTTGAAAAAAATGTCAGGGAAAGTCAGGGAAAAGTCAGGGAATTTTTTCGAACATTTGCAGTGGACACCCTGATTATGATGCCATTATGTAAGTCATTTTTAAACAAAGTTGCTTCCTAGCATTGATGTAATAGGTACGACTACATAAATCATTAGCCATGGCCTCGAACTAATAAAATTAGTGCGTAATTTATCTATCTCAACCCAAATAAATTAACGGACGATACAAATAAATCTAAACTGGGTTTATAGTCTGTCATCCGAGCGTCTCCCACTAAGAAGTATAAAAATAATGGTCACGTGAGTCAGTGAGAGAATTTCCTTATATGGCTTGATACGATTTCTGTGCTAATTGATCTGTGTTTTGTAAATATACCCATTCTGTTATGGAAAAGTAGATCGATATGATGACACTGTAATTAACTAACGATCTTGAGATAGATACAGTCATTAAATTAATTAATCTTATCAGAAAGAAAAAAATATAGTGATATATAAGGTTGTGTTACACAATAAAAAACATTTTTCTTTTCTATACTTAGGCTGAGTTGCACCACCTAACTTTGACCGTAATTATAACGATAACCGGTACTTTTTGTATGGAGTTTGACAGATTTTTGACGTTCGTCAAAGTTAAAATAAGATGGTGCAACTCAGCCTTAAATTATGTCATAGAATCACTATCCAGAACATGAGGTAGTGCCTAAGATGTGGGTAGTGCCTATCTGGCAACTAAACTGTTTCATTAGAAAGAAAAAATATTTGGTACCAGAAATAAAAACAATACAATTAAGTAAACAGCATGAGCAAAACAAAATTGTTGTACCAAATTGGTCAGCTCAGTATGAAGGTATACAGGGTTTGTAATTATGAGTATGTACCTGCTGCCTACATCTAAATAAAACTAACTAAGGCACTCTATCAGTCTCAATACACAAACTCAAAAATTACTAAACTGAGTTTCAAACTACGTATTAGAACTGCCACCTAAACCAGTTCTAAATTAGTTTTAACAAAGTCAGTTAATTACATTCTTTAAACCAACAGCATTGTTATTTTCACAGTAAAACCTGCGGAATGATTACCTACTACGCCGAACGATTCAAGCGATGACACGGTGGAATAATTAACATCCGTTTTGTGCTAAAACACGATTGTAAGCTAATTTGGGTTTAATTAAATATACCTATTCTGTGTGGTACGATTTAACATTTTTGAAGATACTAACTTAAATTTAAAACTCAGATACAAAGCAAAATATACCTACATCAAGAATCTCTTCTTCTACTGTTATCTGAGTAAACAAAAAATTAAGAACAAAAGACACATTTCGATTTGTGTCCCAACTGGATATCGAAGCGTTGAATTCTAACCACTAGACCACGGATCAATAATTAGGTAAACATTGTACCGGAGTAGGACTTCAACTTATCATCGCACGAGGTTAATATTTTTATAAATGTTTTCATCATCACGTATTTATACATGGAAAAAAAATCAACAAATACATAATATATCGGTCTTGTCGACAGCACAGTACCGGGAGTCCGGGATATGTGACGTCACGCTACGTAGCGCCCTGCGCTGGCGCAGCGCCAATGCGTCACTGAATCAGTTGGTGGAGTAAACTAAACATCATTATCTGTTACGCAAGAATTTACTCGTAAATTGAGTATTTTAGCTAAAAGTATCCGCGATAAAGCGATTTGATACAGACCTGATCTTAAGCGCCAGTCCAATAAATATTGTTGACCATTAAAATGTTTGCTAATGTAATTAAAAAAATAAAATGAAAGCCTGCCAAATATCGCGATTTTCGTGATTCTGGTGATATCAATATTTTGGATATAATCATTATCAAAAATAAAAGAAAAATTTTCATATTACAGCTGACCGGATAATTATGGAGGATTTTCAGAAGCGATATTCAATATCGTCTGTTTTCAGAATTAACCCATTACTGCTCAGATTGTTTTTTTTACATAAATGTACGAGCATAGTCGGAACTAAGTATGTTTTTGTAAGATGACACACTGTGATATGTAACAAATGGTTCAGTATTGCTTATTTACAGGTTGACTAAATTTAATCACTGTGATAAAATGCAATTATCCAGACTGTTGAATGACAGGTATTTTTCAAATCTGTCTAAAACTTCTTACCTTCTTCATGAAGAGTTCTCATCACTTATTATAAACTTGCGAATATTCCTTTCACAGCATGTTATTTGTATCAAATCCATACAACTACTGACTCTACATAGGTACTTTGTTTGGGTGACATCATAACTACATACAATACAACTCGGTTCATTCAATAATGACCGCAAAAAATGAGGAAACGCGTACATTCTGATGCTGTGAGGTGACTAAACGCGGGATGCCCGTGTTATTATTATTTGTATTTTTTTTTTCTGCGTAATAAAACATTTTCTTTCAGTATTGGAAAAAAGATTAAATTTTACCTAATTTTTGGTACGTTTCGTTCATTGCGTTAAGTGCAAGCTTACTTATTTGCAGGTAGCCAAAATGCGCAGCACTAGGATTTTTACTTACTATAATTATTTCGTGTTAATCTCTCGTGTTATCATCAGTAAGTTTTTTTGAATTCAGTATGCAAATTAAAATATCTATGAGAGTCCCCTGCCTAAAACTGGACATCTATAAATGAAACTATCTCAACGGAACGGTAAACACAACCACGTGACCGGCGCACGCGCATTTTGAGAGGAGTCGAAAACGCAATTACCTTTGTCAAATAAATTG